AATAATAGGATTGTGGATACAGTAAGCTATAAACTGATGAGAAACAGGGTGCAGCAGAAGACGAACAAATTGACGTTGACGGTTTCGGAAGTCGCCTAGGCCTTGACACCTAGAGTCAAACCACCCTATACGTAAAACGGCGGCGGACCGACGATCTCACCCAGCTGCGATATGTTTGCACATACTGTAGGAACAGGGCGCGAGCGGCAAGATGTGCTGGTCAGAACCCTGAAACCTCGAGGGTTTAGGAACCGTGGCGGCGAAGGAACATCACGATGCCATCCGATAACGCAAGATGGACCGTTGCAAGGATTTTCCTAGCGGACAACGACAAATCTGGAAGGCGGCTAAATATCCGAAATCTAAAGATAAGAGAGCTTTTCGATAACTGCACAGCTCACGAGAGAAGACAGAACTAAAACGACAGATCATCGGGAACAAGCCGAAGAGCTTCTAGCCAAGTTATTTCCGCCACTGCCAAACAATGTCGACGATTAAGGATCCAGGCAACAGAGAGCTCCACTAGTGATGCCGAAGTTGTCTGCAGAAGAAACAGAGCGTCGACTGCAAGTCGTGGAAGGCGCCAACAGAAGACAAACTACCAGCGATCGTCTGGAAGCAGGACTGGCCGTTGGTGAAGCACGATATCCTCGACATCTTCCAAGCATCATTAGAGGGAGACATGATACCGAAACACTGGAGGCATGCCCATATCATTTACCGCCCAAGAAGCTAGGTAAAGATGACCATACGATCGCGAAAGCCTGCAGACCGATCTCGCTTCTAGCCACGTTGGACAAGGTGTTGGAGTCCGTTATGGCTGAGAGAGTCCCCTACGCTGTAGAAGCTCACGGGCTCCTCCCGTCCGATCACATTGGCTCGCCCAAGCAGCGATCAGCAGAATATGCCCTCGTATTTCTACAAGAACACATCTTCTTAGGATGGTCATGTTGTGAGTCTTGTCAGTTTCGAAGTGAACGGAGTATACAACGGCGTATTCAACTTGAGACCATTGCAGCGTATGGAGGCAAGAGGGATTCCAAAGGGCCTCCTGCGATGGGTTGATGCATTTTGCTCCGAGCGGACTGCAACCATTATGATCAATGGTCAAAGTTCTGAGAGCAGACTGCTACCATAAGAAGGACTCCCGCAAGGATCTCCTTTGTCGCGATGCCGTCTCTGTTCTTCAATGCAGATCTGGTGCAAACCCAGATCGACGGGAATGGTGGAGCCATCGCGTTCGTGGACGCCTACACTGCTTGGGTATGTGGACCAATGGCCCAGAGCAACCGGGGAGGGATACAAGCGATAATTTACAAAGCTCTCGACTGGGAGTGACGCAGCGTCGCAACAGTTGAAGCGGAGAAGATGGCGATCATACATTTCACGCGATACACAGGCAGAATAGACTCGGAATTCTTCACCATCAAGGGCAAGATGGCCGTTCCAAGGGATCAAATCAAGGTTCTTGCAGTCATTATGGACTTGCGCCTTTACTGCAAGCAGAACATCGCAAAGGCGATAGAGTTGAAACGACTGACAGGGGTAGCTCCTTGTACAACCAGACAGCCTTTTACAGCCATCGTAGCTCCGGTGGTGGACTACGCCGCCAATGTCTAGATGTATGGGTGTAATACGGTTCCGTCACATGCCACCCATTGAGTGCAAAGGGTAGGAGGGCAGACGATCATAGGATCATCACAAGCATGGCGACATGGAGCAGCCAGGTAGACCTCACGCGCCCTACACAGGCCGCTCTGTCACAGTAAACAACGCCATGGAGGACAGTTCAGCCCCAGAAGCTTCACGACCCTGTGGCACCAATGATCCGCAGCATGACGATGGCCATAACAGTATCCATACGAACAATTATAAGCAAGCGCTAAATAACGAGCTCTCCGAGTCATTCACCGATAGTGATCGAGAACTCTGTCTTGCTACGTGCCAGTCTGATCATTGCCCACTGTGACACAGCCTCTAGTATAATTGACAACTGTAGCCGACGAGGGTTGCCAAATTTCTAGGGCAGTTAAAGAAACTGGAGTTCAGGTGTAGAACTGATGGTCGCAGGGATGTCGGTCTTCTCCAAAAGAGCCCATCGTACTCCGTAGATAGAACATTTAAAATCACCATAACTGTGTTGAGCTGCAGGGTAGGTCGCCTAACACTGGGCCGCGTTTGGTAGTAGTAGTGTTTGTCGCTTTGCCGGCACGAAGCTCCAGTCAATCAAAACTTGACCACTGACCAATTTTCATTGGCCATCCGTCATGTAGTGCCGTAAAGACCATCCGCCAAATAATGACATCCTCGAAACTGGATGACCTTGGGTGGATGAGGGCGGCCACCTTGCTTCACGATACAATCCGATCCATCGAACCGACCACCGCTGCGAGTGCCTCCAACCTGGTGTTGTCCTGGCCAGGTACCGTACTTTAGCTTCATCTTTACGATCCTCAAACCTGCTCCAGTCAATCAACGCGCCCTGCTCAGACGCGTCCCTCGCTCTGCACCATAGCGGCATTACCTCCCACCAAGATGATATTATGAAAGGTGCACTCGAACCTCTGTTCGCTTCTCTCTACTTCTTACTGACTATCTTTAAGCAGGATGGCCTGTTTCCCGATCGCGCTCGTAGCTCTTCGAGTCAACAGTTGTGTCGTACTGTCCAAGACTGCCTCAAACCTAGCCCGATGATCGAGATGCCTTCTGGCTAGCGACCCCACGGCGATGTCGTTTCCGTCTGGAAGGCAGCTTAGGGTGGCGATTCGCACCCCTTCCTCGCCCATCCGCGATCATACTCACCAGCGATCGATACTCTGTCCGCGACCCATTCACCCGATCTTCACTCCGATCTTCACCGCGCGATTTGTGAAGCATATAACTGGATGTTGATTGCAAGCCCAAGGTTAGATGCCCTAAAAGGATGGCAGTTCTTATCATCCATCAATCCATCAGCGCTGCCAGTATCTCGGCTTCATTCAGTTGTAGCGATGGCGCGTTTGCCTTGGCGGCCCGAACCCTTGGTTTGCTCGATACTGCCCAGTCTCATCACGGATGCCCTCGACAAAGTTCTTTACGTCATGTGCTGTCACAAAATGGCTCGTCCGGAGTCTCTAGCTGCCTTTGTCTTCTGGGAGGCTCTGGGGCCTCACTTACGAGGGTATGCCTTATCTTCTGCCCCTCCATTTCGACTGTACTGACGGACGCCTAGAAAACTACGATATCTTTCCCTCATTCCTACCACGCCCACAGCCCTTCTCGTCAGTTACATCACCAAACCCCGGCAGATATCCTGACAATCGAGATGCCTCTTGATGGCTATTCCAGGACGCGACAACGTTTCTGCCTTGAGATCACACGACACATGAACCTTGACCAGCTTTCCAATACCGTCAGCTTTGACCCGTCAGCTGCCCTCGCTCTTGTCGACAACCAGCCAGCCAATTGAGTTGTGGTTCGATGCCAACTTGCCGCTTGATTCTGCCCGGCCGAACGTGCATCCGTACACACGTACGGAAGGCGATTTGAATATGCCCCAGCCTTCGTCCTCAACCCATTCCACTGCGGGCATCGCCATTAGCCGCAATGAGAAACAGCAAGGGCAGCCGCAACCTGTGGGTCAGGATTGATGCCCTGTGGGATGGTGCTTGATCATTTTTGCTGCTCGCGCGCACAAGCGGGCCGCCAGTACCTCCTCAAAAGGGTGTGGCCTGAACAATTCGTGATTGAAAATCGACGGTGCACGCCACGCCAGGTCAGAGAGGGGGCTTTCACGTCCAGACAAGCGCGACACTGAACCGTTACTGCGAATCATGATCCCAGAAGTGGCCATGCGGTCAACAGCGACGAAAAGGATTCTAATGAAAGCCAGATTATTTGTCCTCTTTTTATGACGATTGAAACAGGAAGCGACGTTCAGTATCGTCTAATTCAAGGGGCTGATGACCATGGGTACGAAATGGACTTTCTCCTTTACAAACTCAACGTCGATAACGTCGCCGCTCATTACTCTTAATATATAGAGTAGAGGCTTTCCGAAGCTTTCGCAACAGTCCAAAAGAAGGTCTAATAGACACCAATGCGACATTGGGCCTACTCGCCGAGACTACTGTCCTGACCACTGCTGGGTATCCACGTTCAAAAACCTTAGTATCACTCATAAGTCTCTTCACCGCACTGACGATTCTGTGATGGAAATGGGGATTGACTGCCTTCAGGATCTCCGAAAAGCCTGGATGTTTGAACCTTTCAACGAGAGAAATGGGCTCAAAAGCTTCAAGCAAGACTTGAAGTCTACTAAGCGAAAGCAAACAACCAAGGCCGATGATGCTGCGATGTTGAGTTATGGGGTAGATGTTTCGATGAACCACGTATATAAGGAGGCCCGACCAGTAATAAAGGACTATTCATAATAATGTTTATTTTGAGGCAATTCACAAATCAGCTAAGTCAGACAGGTCAGAATCAAACCCGCTAGACGGCATCCGTTCCCCCCGCTGGTTTTTGCATTCCTTCAGATCAAATTTTCGAAGCTGCTTTGCCCGCTCAGACTTGTTGCGTGAGACAGGGTAAACACATGACAGGGAATAGTCGACATCCATTTCCAGCACCTCACCAATAAGTGTCTTTGGGTCAATCAAGTGGTGAGTCGATTCTGTCAACCCAGTCGCCGCCCCGGGAACCAGACACCATGGTCACCACGTGAGGACAACATACTTATAGGACTCGGACCGCGTAACGACAACTGGTCAGATATCAAAAAGAATTTGCCTGGCAGAACTGAGGCTGCTTCTAAGCAACGTTGCAGAAAGATTCGCAAAGCCTCTGAACGAGGCAATGGAAAACTGGAGCCGGGCGCCTGCCAGCAGGAGATCCGCAAAATAGAGTGCCTCAGATATTTATGGGTCATCAGGAGATTACTTACCGCCTAGATTACACTTCATCGCACTCTCAAGCAGTTTTGCCTGAGGTCAACTGCCGATCTCTCCCACCGGCTGTTATCAACAGACAGCGAAGCATGGCGCCTTCTGGGAATGGATGTCAGGGTCAAGGGGCAGACGAAATGTCAGCTTCATGGCAAACAGATGAAAACGACAACCATAGCAGCTCACATAGGGACATCCGCTCAGCGCCCAATATGGCGGAAACAAAAGTCTTTCGGTGCATTGTCGCACATACACTTCCAAAATATTGCGATGAGAGATTTGACAGCATAAAGAAGCACAAGTACCGTCGATCGCCCATTTTGACCGCAAATTAGCTAATGTATTCAAGCGATCATATTAGGCATGACCACTCATCCGTATTCTGGTGCATTCCATGCCGGTACAAGTTTTCCATTGCCATTAGTGAAGAGGATTTAGAGCTCAAAAAGACTGAACACAGCCAACAGTGCACCAAACAACCGGCAAGAATCGACCTGGAGCGTTGGGACGAATACTTCATACTCAAAGATAGCATCTATATGCTTGTTACGTCAAGCCAATGGATTTATACTATTGTTCCTGATGAACTTGACAAAAATGGTGGTAAGGAAAGTCTATCTCACAATCAATGGAGGCGAATTCTTGAAACAGTTTTCCCCAGTAACACAGCCTTCGACGTGTACAGCTCAAGGCACTCGGGTAAACCAGAGCTCGATTTGCCTCCAATGTTGCCCCCTAGGGCTGTCGGCATGCCTCCTGAGGACACTAAGCTTCCTAGATTCAGCAGCCTCTGTCGTACGTTTGATACAGCCCCAAGCCCGTCCACGGGCCAAATCTAGACACTCTGTCACCAAGTCTTGCGAGCTAATTGGTCGGATTAGCTGAGTCTAAACAACAAGCTTCTCCGGTTTATCATTCATACCGAGTCAACCAGCGGCCCTGAATCTTATAGCCTACATCAGGCAAGCACCTTTTAGCAGACCGTGTGGAGTCCGCTGAACCTCGGGCAGCTGCATCATACGTCAGCTGACTAAACGTTTCCTTCATCTCCCCTCAACACCAACCGCCTCTATGGCGAACCAACTCGCCCCTATCAACCGGGACCCCAACGCGTTGACATAGCTTGCCTAGTTTCCGCTATACACGAGATGGGGTCCTCCAACGCCGAAAACTCCGCTACAGCATCACTAACTCTAACTTCTGACGTTCCCAACGACGCGTCTACGACCGAAGAAGCCAGATCGTGCAGGCCCTGGATCTCTAGAACGCACATCATGATGAGGGCTCGCGGTAGCACCATGTCACAGTCCAATAGCCTTAGCAAATTGCCGTTGGATGTCGCCCAAGAGACTTTGGAACTGCTACTTGACGTAGGACACCCCATAGTGGCGGCCGTTCAGCCTCCGAAGACTGGACGCCGATAAAACCGACGCCAATGAAGCCGCCACCACTTGCACAACCGAGCAGATCCGCCAGTACCTCATCAAAAGTGCTTTCTATCGCGACCAGGATATTTCACGGTTGAAAGTCGACGATGTAAGTTATGCCAGGTCAGGGAGAGGACGTCTCAGGCCTTGACAGCCGCGACAAGGAACCGATGCTGCGAATCACGATACTGGAAGTGGTTACGCGGTCAACAGCGATAAAGAGTATCCGCGTGATGAACTCCGTCCTTCAACTCAAGTTCTCCAGTTTGGTCAGAGTCTGAAGGGTCCAGCGAGAATGCGCTTGTAAAACGCGTTGCCTTGCCACTTCTCTCTGTTCCAGCGCGTAATCGTGCGCAGACTGTCGATTCTCAAGGCGGAAGCAGCTTCATGCTCAACAGCCCAACTTTCCCTCGCTGGATCACTACGCAACTTCTCGATCCGACTCTTGTACCTTGGTATCCTTAACTCTCATCTCATCACTAAATTTTGTTCATAGGTATTGTCATCACGACACTTTCTTCAGGTCAACCTTGTGCGTCAGTATTTCTCGACAAATCTAATAGCTGTGCGCCGTACCTGCAGGAAGTCATACTCTCAGCGAATTGCCTGCCACACCTGGATCAAGTACATGATCCAAGCTCGGTTTCCTCTTCTGATCGACTTGGCCGTCCTGTTGCCTTTCCTGTGGCTAGCATCCCGAAGGGCTTCCAACGCCGCTCTTTCTTGCTCAATGACTTGTCTGACCGCCCGAGGAAGGTCTTGGCGAGTAGAAATCAGGGCAGCTGTGCCAGGGATTGCAAGGTTGAAGATGATGGTACTAGGAAGCCTCTTGTATTCCCGGCTGGTGACAACAGCATCGATCTCAGTCCTTGCAGCTTGAAGCTTATGAAGCTATCGTCTGAGTGCAGCTGTTGTTTAACGGCTTGGAGGTTCCCTAGACTGATGGGGAACTCGTTGATATAACGATGTTGATGGTGGTAGGAGAAGGCCGTCGAGACGAGCTTCCTTTTGGGTACGTGTGTTGCCATCTTGCTTTGTGTGGTGCTTAGTGGGATCGTCTTATCGGACGTACCAAAAACATCACCTTGTACCCGTAAGGGCGGTCAAATGAGTCACATTCTAGTTTTTTTATTTATCAGCTTTGCGCTGTAGCAATTGGTCAGGCACTTTGGTATAATGTCTAAGTTATGAGCTAGATGTGTTATTTGCAGTTGAGACTTGTGGCTGAGACCTTGAGCCAGCAGAGAGAACTTAGTTCATAGGTAGCTGTTGCGCTAGTCCACAAT